TAAAAAAATTAATGTGACCTTGACCTGACCTTCGCTACGCAACCCAAGGTCAAACTGATGTGATCAGTAAATACATCTTTTTAAACGCCACAACTTTTATCTGAAACATTTTTTTCTAAAATGCTTAGTTTTCGAGATATTTCACCGGTCCGGGACTTTTTGAACACCCTGTATATATATGTATGCACGCGCGTGTGATATGTGTGTATACAGGATGTCCCACTCTCCGCGCATTTTTGTGGAAACGTAGAACGGATTGAAGTTACTGTTACCGTTATTAAGAAAGTAAAGATTCGTTACTTTATTACTGTTTTTTTTGTAAGATTAAAATAAAATATGTAATTGATTTTTAAATGAAATTATTGTTTGCAAGCTTAAATTATTATTCCTAACTCGAAGAATTAATATTTCTTTATAAGTTTGACTCTATTTTCTTATTCTTTATTATCCTTTACACGAAAATTATTGTCAGTACAGAGCTAGATTTTACAGTATTTGAAACTATTATTGAAACAACGAGTAGTACGACCGTGGTGTAGCGACGAAAATTGCTCGGGTGATTGACTGAATGTCACAACGGACGTTTTGAGCGTCGACGAGCCGGTACGATGAAACGAGGGAATCTTTTCTCGCTCTCTACGAGCCATCAAGCAAATGTCGCCGGAATCTAAATGCGATACTCAACGGCGGTGATGCTGTATTCTCGAAGCTCTTCTTTCATGTTTCACCAATTTCAATTTCCCTGCTTTGTCAATGATTCCGGCAGGGCACGCTACGGTTGACAGAAGCTAAATGGAAGTCGCGGCAGTTGTAAAGGGAGATAAGCCATTCATTCGTTTTCGCAAGGCTTTAAGGATAGACGTGCGAAAATATATTAGCGCGAATCCGCGATTCACTTTTTCTAAATGTCCCGTCGTTAAGAGGGAAAGTTCACGGGAAATTGGAAAACTCCGCAGGCGAGCAATTTTTCGACTCTAACAATTTTTAATAAATTTAATAATAAATATATACTTAGAATATAATATACATACTTGTTCCATAGTTTCTTATAAAAATAAACTATACTCTAAGTATACCTATTATTAAATTTATTAAAAAATTTTAATAACAAAATTGCAAAATCCGATTTTGCACTAACAACCATTTTTACATGAAAAATAAAATAAAACCAAACATACGTCTTCGAACAAATATTGAAATATTTCTATCCAATTAAGAATACGTAATACACGCTATCAGCGCTATCCTATTCGTTACCGTTATAGTAAAAATATAACGACGTTATTATCGTTACAAATAAAAAAAGTAACGATTGTTATCGAAAAAAATGGTAACGATATTACAAGTAATATGTTACTTCTCTCAACTTTAGCAATTATATATAATTTTTTAACAATATTATTTAATAATATAAAGGGGACGATTTTTGGATGCCCCTATTTTTAGTCTCACCGACCGAATTAAAGAGGTCACGTGACGTGAAGTGGGGATATTCAAATCCATTTAGACGCGCGCTAGAGAATCCATATATTTGGAGAATAAATTTAGTGAACAGGGAGAGTGACGGAAGCGCAAGTAAAACTTCTATGATCAAAATCAAAGTCGTGCGGACCGCTAAATCTTTTGTACAATTAGATATAATAAAGTCAGCAATTACCTCTGCATAAATTCTTGCCTCAAATGCATGACCATTGAGATAGATCTCCTCTTGTTTCAATGGTAATTCCTCACCACTTGCAACTTTTAATTGCCACTCGACTAAATCCAAGCCAGTGATCGCCTCCGTAACCGGATGCTCCACCTGCAGACGCGTATTCATCTCCATAAAGTGGAAACTGTGATCGTTGCGATCCATTATGAACTCCACAGTCCCAGCGCCTACGTATCCCACTGCTTTAGCGGCGCGCACAGCTGCTTCACCCAGCTCCTGTCTGAGCTTCTCAGATATTCCAGGCTGAGAAAAACATCGAATACAACGTGTAATGACAATTTTTTATCTTTCTATATAAATCTCTACGATAATAATAAAAAAAGAAAAAAATCTATGTACAGCAGGTGCTTCCTCAATCACTTTCTGATGTCGTCTTTGAACGGAGCAGTCCCTTTCGAATAAGTAAACAACGTTTCCATGTTTATCGGCAAAGATCTGTACTTCAACGTGCCTAGGCTCGGAAACGTATTTCTCGAGAAGTACCGCCGAATCCCCGAACGCTTTCTCCGACTCGGTTCTCGCGGACTCTAGTGTCTCAGCGAAATCGGATTCCTTCAGGGCGATTCTCATACCTTTGCCGCCACCGCCGCGAACAGCTTTTATCATCAAAGGAAAGCCAATTTTTCTGGCTTCCGCCAACAACGTTTCGTTACTTTGGTCATCTCCATGATATCCTATAAATTAGAGGTTTATGGAGTATTAGAAAAATATTTCTTTTCTATTCACATTATGCTTAAATTTACATTATGCTTAAAAAAGAAACATGTACTGATTTTGATATTAGGTTAGCGAAAGGTCATGTTCGCGCGTCAAATAGAAAGCAAAATTATTTAATGGATAAAGTTCCGAAGAGTACTCACCTCCGATTTTTTTAAAACTCAGTATTCCTACGTATATTGACACGCTGATTACGAATATCATAGTGAAAAATAGTGGCTACTTGATTTTCATGGCGTAAACCATGAAAAACCCATAAAAATTATGGTTTTTTACGTTTATCTCAGTAAATACGAAAAATCATGATAAATGTTTTAGACAAAAGCTTTAGATCTCACAGAGATAAACATTTTAGGTTGTATATATTTTCACCGTACGAATAATAGTTTTCAAGGAAATGGAGTATAAAGACAGTAACAGCATTAACATCCATCGTCGTTGCGGTTAAAAAGTGTTTAACCGCAACTTTTTTCTTAATAACTTTTTAATAAACCATGACCGACAGCTAATGTGACGATAGGTAGGGTTAGGTTAGTTTTTAGAGGGGTGTGGGGGCGCAGCCCCCGCTAGTCGTTCCATATTTTTATATATTATATATATATATATATGTATATATATGTATATATATATATATATATATA